TCAATCCTGCCGAAGAAAGAAAATACAGCTACAGGAACAGACTAGTCTGTTTTGGGGGTTTTAGAGGGATTTTGGACACTTGTCAGCTGGTTATGCATGAAAAAAGTAGTGTGTTCAAGCTCAGATCAGGTAGAAAACTAACTTTAAACCCTTAACTAGGATCAGAGAGGTTCAGTTGCGGATGAGACTTGAATGGAAATGCAGGTTTTGTGTGAAGTCACAGCAGCAACAGAAGGGAAGAGAGATGCTCTGTTTCCGTTGTGTTGCTTGCAATGACAAATCAAACATGTAGCTTGAGATGAAATCACAGAAACAGGAAATGAAGATCAGAGAATACAAAAACATAATAAACATCAGCATTATATGGACACAGTAAATAAGTCTCTTACTTTTCCACCATTTCTTTGTCGTATTTACACCGTAGTTCCTGCAGCTCTGTTCGGGCCGAGTTCAGTGCTGGGAGACAGAGAAACGGGTGCCATTATTGACCTCTGACTTCATATCAAGCCTCAGTCGACCTCACTGTTTGATACGGATCTTACATGACTGAAGCGCTTTGATCCGGTCCTCAGCCTGGCCGAGTCTGACAGGCAGCGAAACGTCTGATTCATGTTCCTCCCTGTGGAAACGGCGAGACAGAAGAGAGATCAGAACAGGAAGTGACTGAAACCCCCACTGAGAAATTATGAAACCCTTGAATGGATCTCTGGAAACTCTGCTAAGCGTCTTATTCAGAGATGAATACAGTAGCATACTACAGCATGTAAATTGCTAAATGTGAAGTATATAACAGAGTACACAGTGTGAGATGCAGATTAAAAACTATGTGATTAAAACTATATATATATATATATATATATATATATATATTATAATTCATAACTATAGAAGTAGACAGTATGCAATATATGATCAATGGAAAAAAACATTATAACTATATTGAGATCCAAACATCTTCATTTGGTGCATTTAAAATGATAAAGGCCTGTGTATAAAGCAGTTCTATGTGAATAATGGCTAAACATAGTTAAAGATTTAATTGATTGTTACTTTCTTATGTTCATATTCATAGTGTTGCAGTAGGGCACAGAAGTAATTTCATTACAACATATCAAAATCTGCAACAGACGCCTCTAAGTATTTATTTATCTATTCAATTTTAGGTGTGATATCCCACAAGGCAATGCACTCAACTGAGACAAATTATGTGCATATCAGTCACAATTCTTAAAATTTTTACACAAAAAAGCACTTGATGCAATGCACTTGAATGAGACAAATTATTCCATAAGGCAATGCACTCGGTTATGTGCATATCAGTCACAATTCTTAACATTTTTACACAAAATTTGATTACAAATTATAATTTAATCAACTTTTTTTTATATATATTTTTTTAAATAGAAATAATTATTGCTGATATGCCAAATGAACAGCATTTACTGAACTAGACAGATATACAGACATAGAGCATATAGTATGCAGTATGTTTTGTGTCAGATCTTCTGTGGGTTACGTACCCTTCCTGTGGGTCCTGGTGATTTTGGAGCGGGGCGTCTCCATCCTGGACGTTCTGTGTGCTGTTTGGTGTCATCATGTGGGGCCGCTGTGACGACGCCTCCCCCGTCTCCACGGTTACAGGCCCCACCTCTGTGTGTTCTAAACACAATTAATTACATTGTAACCAGTCCAATCTCTCTTTGGAATAACAAGTGCAACCTAACAGTGATCAGATAAGATTTTCACATTTCACATTTTTCTTGAAAGAAATTAATTTATTCAGCAAGGATGCATTAAATTGATCAAACATGACAGTAAAGACATTTGTAATATTACAAAATATTTATATTTAAAATAAATGCTGTAATTTAGAATTTTCACCAAACAATCCCAAAAAATTGTGTCACGGTTTCAACAAAAATATGAAGCAGCACAACTGTTTTCAACATTAATAATAAGAAATGTTTCTTGAGCAGCAAATCAGCTTATTACAGTGACAGACTCATTTTAATATACTGTATATATATATATATATATTATTTTTTTTTTTTGCTATATTTTGGTGGATAAAAAAAACTCTTTTTGAGGGCAGATTTAAAGTGAAAAATTATTCATAATTGAATTAAATATTTATTTTATTCTAAAAATGCAAGTTTTTTTGTTTAGGGTTGGGTTGTAGGTTATGGTTAGTCTGATTGATTTGATTTATATCAGAAGTCAATCAAAAGTCTCCAGTAACACTATAAAAATATTTTTTCTAAGTTTTAAAATAATTATTGGATTATTGGAGTATGTCTTACAAGAAAATACTATTTTAGTCTTTGTAATTTAAAAATGTAAATTTTAATTCAATGTGTTACTTGCTGTTTCTTTGTAATTCTTTGTAATATTTACCATGCAAGTTAAAAATTGTTTCTATGTTGTAACTTAAATTAGAGTAGTATGAGTCATAAATGCTTAGTATAATGTTTAATTCATTGTTTTCAATAATAAGAACAGAAACCGTATATATAGTAATTTATTGGGCTGTTCCCCTTTAAGAAAACATTGCCCATAATGCTATTCAGATAGAGAGCGCGCTGAGAAGACGTGAACGGAGTATGTGTGTATGCTGCTAAAGTGAATTAATCCCTGTAAAACTACCTGAAACTACAGTAAATCAGTTCTTTTGTTTTAATTCAAGTCGTCAGAGTTCATTATTGCTTGTTAAGCGAAGAAGACACGACATTCTAAACCATTTTTTTCAGTGTAGAGAACAATGTGTGTATGTGAAAGAGCATACTGTATGTTATAGTTTATCGTGTGTTTTAGACTCTGACCTGCTTTGTCAAGGCACTCCAGGTGTTTTCTCCAATGCTCAGAGATTTCTGTGACCAGAGGGTCACCGTCAGGAGCCGAACGCTGAAGTTCTGCCAGACGCTCCTGTGTGGCCTGCAGCAGCGGAGCCGGATCTGCACACACACAGACACAGACACAGACACAC